ACACACACACACACACACACACACACATATATATATACACGCAAATCAAACAATAAAATAAAATAAAATAAAAAATTGCAGAAATGGAGAAAGAAATGAGACCTCCAGAAAATAAAAGAAGCAGGAAGCCGGCTCATCCCATAAAAAGGGAAATCAATGAAGAGATGAAGGTACGTCTCTGCGCTCCCCCTTTATTATCACTGTATCGCAAGTGAGAAGGGAAGAAAAAGGGAAGAGGGGTAGCGGTGGTACCGTTGAGTCACAGGAGGAACGAGCGCCCTCTACTATGAGGCAGGAGAACTGTGTGCCTCACGTACCTCAGGACTTTTTAGGCTTTTAAGCCTCACTTAACTCTGCTTGAGCAATCATAGATGAGACAAGCAGTTCTCCTGCCTCATAGTAGAGGACACTTTTTTTAGAGGCTTATTTAAACAGTTAAGCAGAGACATCCACAGTGAGGCAGCAGCTAGCTAGCCTCACCTCAGCACTTGCCTTTTTCCTTTTACCTTTTTTTTTCCTTTTCATGATGAGTGCGGTGAGGCTGTGCCTCACCTGACTGCACGTCACTGATTGCTACGCAATTTTGTAATTGCCCAGTATTAATTTACAAAGCTGCAAACAATGTTACATTGCTCCTTTGATCTCAAATAGTCTTCAAATTATTAGAATGGAGAAGAGGTAGACTCTACAGCATCAGTATTCTTTTTCCTTTTCCATCAAATTCCTACCTTCTCTGGATTCCCATACCATGCAGCTGGAAATATTTAGATTTTTTTTTCTTTTCAAGGGGAAAAAAAAACTACAAAACCACAAAGCCTAGAATGAAATCTGAATGGCCCAGTTCATTTCCTTTTTGCCATTTTACTTAAACAGTAAATGTTTATTTGTTTTCCTGTGTCCCAGACACAATTAGGGTACACAGGAATATCTACAGTTCACCAGCCAAATCCAATGGCCTTTGTCAATAGTTGCTTTTATCTCCATCAACATTGCAGAGGATAAAGGATGCTGTTTCCAGAAGTCTTCCAGCCCAGAAAGGAGTCAATTATTCTGAATTTGTTCTCTTTGCTCTGCTTTTCAGACAGGGTGTACAAATTGGTAGACCAGCCTTTGTGAGATATCTGGTTTCCTTATGATCCCTTTCTTATAATACTGCCGAATTGAGCGGCTCAGCTTGTCGTAGTTCATGGCAGGCCGGTTCTTCCGGATTCCCCATAGCCGAGCCACCTGGGCAGAATCTTCAATCTTAAATATACCTAGACAGTAAATACGAGAAACAAAAATCCATTTATGTTGGCCATACCCGCCCTACCATCTTAGCGCTATTATACTTTGAATCAGAGGAATTATTAACAGAAAAGATAATAAAAAGAGGAACAAATGTTTGCAAGGAACCATAAAAAAGCAAACAAAAAATATATTTGGAGAAGCAAAATCTAAAGCACTATATTTTTAATGTTATTTATTATTGGATTTATAGCTTTGTTTATTGTTTATTCCAATCCTCAAATCAGCTAATACATTAGAAAATGCAGTGTATAAATCATAGCAATGTTCATATAATTCAAATCTAAATCTAAATTAAAACTGATCAGTAAAAAACATGGGAATCCTGACAAACCCATCCCATTGCTATTATACATATTGAGAGTAGCATTGGTCCTTCACAATTGAGAGCGGCCTGAATAAATTGCCTATTTGGGAGCTCTGATGGACATTTCTGGGCACTCTATTTCCCTCCTACCAGTTTTTCCCTTAAGTTTGCCCTTGGTGTTCTATGTCTTTCTCTCCCTCTTTTCCAGTTTTGGTAAGCTGTAGTGCAAACTAACCAAAGTTCTTAATATCTCAAAAAGAGAGCTGGAACAAGTGCAGCTTAAGCCCACAAAGAGGGTTCCCCTCCCCCCAGAATTTCCTGAGTGGGAGAGGTTCACAATTTCAAGCTATGGGGGGCTTTTGGAAGTTTGGAGGTGGCCAAAAGGGTAAAATGGATTTTCTGACACACTGAAGACACCAATCTCACACATGAAATTCCTCCCAACCTCAACTTTGTTTTGCCCCGGGCAGCGGTGTAATCCTCTGAAGTCTGCTACCGGTTCGGTGAGTCTACTACCGAGTGTGCACTTTGCACACATGTGTGCCTGAGGCGTACCCACACAGCACTAAAAGAGGAACGTTTGAAGCCTTCCGGGTCTGCAAAGGTAAGTAGAACAGCGAGAGGGGTGGAATCCGCTGTACCATGCAATTTAGATTAGCTACAAAGCAGGAAATCCAATGATTCTAGCTAATATAAATCATGCATCACAGCTGATCATCACCGAGCTGATCGTCGGAAATCAGTTTGCCCAAACCAGCAGCATTTTTTACTACCAGTTCAGGCGAACTGGTCTGAACTGGTAGCATTTCACCCCTGCCTTTGGGGAATGTATGGAGTTTCTATATTTCAGAAGGCAGAGGTGGGCTCCTAATGGTTCAGACCGGTTGGGCCCAATAGGTAGTAATTTGGCCTGCCACATCCCCAAACTCGTTCTATTGGTAGCCCCGTAAGTGGCGCCATCTTGGTTTTTTGCTTCTGAGTGAACCGACAGTAGCAGAAGCCAGAATCAATCCCTGTCAGAAGGTAGAAAAGGACTTTCCCAGCTGTGGAGTCTTGGACTATCCAAATAAAGAATTTTCCTCCCATTTTCAGTATTAAATCAATATCACTGACCTTTTTCCTTATTGAGCCAACGAATGAAGCGACCATAGTTATGAGGCTTCAGCAAAAGCTCTTTCAAAAACTGCCATAGGTGAATGGGCTGGCCTGAGCAAGATGAATCGACCTCACTGTCTGTCCAGTTCTCTTCATTGCCTATAGTAAGGAAACACCCATCCAAATTAATTTTTAGAAAGCAATGTACTTTTTATTAGAAAAAGCAAGTTACTTTAGACAGGAACAATAGCAGTGTCACCTAGCTTAACATTTTCTATTGCTAGAGAAAGTAGACTCGAGTAGCTTAATACCTATTGCATAGAGCTATTCTTGAATCCTCAGTTACTTGTATGAACCAAGCAGCTAAAGTTCCAAGAAAAATCAGTTATCAGGAACATGTTGAGCCTTCAGATTACAATATATTTTCTGTATATAAGCATTTGCCACATCAGTATTAATGCCCTACTTATTTCTAAGGCAATCAACAACTGTAATAGTCTAGTTGGTCTAGAATGAAACCACCTAAAAGTCTTCCTTCATCATATGATCATCACACTGATTGAACACACTGGAAATATTCTTCTTTGTATTCCATCCAAAAAGATCAGATTTTTCTGTGTCCAAGATTCAAAAAGAGAATCTCCTTATTCTTATATCTGGACTACAGTAAACGTTCATGTGGTAGGTACACCTTTATGCCTTTTTTTTGACAGTTTTCCACCAGTCCCCATAAATTTCCTTTTTTTTTCAGCAAGCTTTTAGCCTTGCAAATTTCTAATTTCATTTTGTGACATTTGCTTTTTTAAGCAATTGTTGTTGAAATATTTTAGTTTGCTCTGTTATCTTGTTGTTTCATTCTTTAAATCCCAAAGGAATACTAGCTCTGATTGAAGAGAAAATTACATTTCCCCACTCATTTCAAACATGGTACATTCCCCCGCTCTCCCTCTCCTCTCCCTCCCTCCCTCCCTCTTTTTCTCTCTCATTTCTCTATCTTTTTATCTCTCCATGTCTCTTTCTGCTACACTGCAAAATAATATATATAATAATGTAAAACCCACATACTAAAGGTGCATATTTCAGTCAATAACTGTCTGGTCTTAAAAGGACTGTACATTTTCATCTTTTGATCTAACAGTATCCAGACAATAAGCAGAACTAGAAGGCAACTGCTTCTACTGCAGAAATTGAAATCATATAGAATAGAATTCTTTATTGGCCAAGTGTGATTGGACACACAAGGAATTAGTCTCTAGTGCATAAACTCTCAATGTACATGCAAGCAATAAGTGATAAATCATGATCATGATATTATGTCATGTGCTTGTAATAAAGCAACATTTGGATTCTTGAATACATTTTTATGCATCCCTATAGTTTCTTAGCTTTTTGACATTTCTATATCACTAAAGTATTTTTATTATTATAATAATTGATAATATAAAATAAAATCTATTTTATTTTTATTGTTAGCAACAGTTAGCTCACCACAGTAATGCAGCTCCCCGGGAGCAGTTTTTTCTTTCATCCAGGCAGCTGGAAAGCAAACATAACATGAAAAGTTAATCTAATGGATTCTGACAGGCTGAATTTCCCCACTTTTCCCCATTCTTGAGGTCCCTTCAACAGTGCTTAAAGAAAGCCAATAGCTCATATAACTGGAAAGGCTGCAAAGGCCAAAACCTTACTCTGTAGCACACTCACCATTCTACCTCAAACTGAGTAGCACCAAACTGTTACAAAGATCTGCTAAAGCATGAGGCTGAACACTGGGACAATATCCCCAAAAAATAGCACAAGCAAAATGCTAATGATTTTGCTTGTGCTGTTTTTTTGGGGATACTGTCCCAGTGTTATTTAGAGAGTCTTGTTTTCCAGCAGTAGTTTGGAAGTACCAAAATCCCTCTATTGCTCTTACTACCAAAGTAGCTTTTGAAGAATTTGTTCATTGTTTGTTTCCCAGTTCTCTTATTAAGTACCTGACTTCCAAATGTCCAGATGAGCATGCAAAACATCACCACACGATGGAGAACGTTGACGGAACCCTTCTTCTGTCATGTCACACAGCTCCTTCCCAGACAAGTCTTGGAATGATTTTCCAATCTGGGGCAATCGGTATTGGTGTTCTGTCCATAAGATCCACTTCTGGACATTTCCTGGACTCCAGTCTGCAGGGTCTACAAAAATATCCCAATGTATATATAAATATATTTATATTCTATAAAGCAACATTGCTTCACTCATAATTCATCTTTAGAGCAAATGTTCTAAGAAAATATTCCAGGTGACCATCATTGTAAATGCCTCCACTTTTTGATACTTTCATAGTTCTGATACGTCAGCCAACATACAGTTATCATATCAATGTCTTCTGCTAAGGTTTTAAAGCAGTATTTAAAATGTTAAGCAGTAATAAATCTATCACTGGAATTGCCAAACAACAGTCAATAACATCCAAACAATCTCCTGAAGAATAGTGCACATTGGATATGGCAATAGGTCTGGTGTCAGCATCCTACATTAACAAGGACAATCTGGGGCTGATAAGGGCTGATGATAGCAGCCATGTTAGTCTTTATTTTTCTTGTTTTCAGAAATGTTCTAATAATTGAAGAGGTAAAACAAGCAGGTTGGCTTTTGTGTAGACAGTTTGCTTTTATATTTGTGTTGGCAGCATTTAGATCCTGCCTACAGTGTACTGGGAACATTTGCCTGGCAAAAAAAACCCCACACTGCAGCTGGAAGAACTAGAAGAGAAGTCTGATATGCTATGCTATCCAACTTCATCGCAACTGAAGTTCATGAACTGTAATTTCCTCTATATTGATTGAATTAGAAAGGGCACTGTCCTCCTTTAGTATGCAACATTTGGAAACCTCAACCTAAATGAACAACTTCTTGTCACCACCTCAGATGACCAACTCTTAAGAGTTCCTCAAGTTTGGATACGGTATCGTTAAATTGACCAATCTAAAATCTAGGCTGAAGCCTACTTTGCTTTCAAAACGAAATCTTCAATTCTGAGTAGAGTAGATCATTAGATCAAAGCACCACCCAGCACTTTCGCCGATGCTATTTCTTCTTTGTTTATATTAACTTTGCCCCTCCATTATGGCCTTTATGAAGAATGCAACATCCTGCATGATCCAAAAGCTGATCAGTATCAGACTGGTCAGTAATCAGAAGAGGCAATCATCAGGTAAAATGTCCCTTGGCTCCCTTACCCTGAAATAAAGTGAGAGGAATCCCAACCTCCAATGGTCTCTCATCCTGATATTCCAGTATTGAAGGGTTGGTGTACTATAATGTGTTCTAAAATAAGAAATTTCACTGGTCATGCCTAGGACAGGAGTTGGATGCTCATTAAGTACCCATAGATGCATCCAAATGCATATATGTAAACGAAGCATTTGGTACCTGGAAATGATGAATAAAGTGAACAAAGCATTGTTCACTTTATTGTTTCATTAATTCATGGCATGGTTTAAGGTGTATGACAGGGCTCTATTCTCCTCTAGATATTTCTGGTCTTCAAGTTCTATTATTCACAGCCATCATGATTGAGGGTCCAGCGCTATCTAGACAATTCCAAAGCTGGTTGCACCCTTCCATAGTTTGACTCAATTCATCCAAATGTTAACTGCTTTTCCTTTAGCTCCTGGCAGCATGGCAGCATGGTTAATGATGAATTATAATGGGATCACACCTGAAAAAAGACTCAGCTTTTGAGAAAGGCTTGTTTCAAATTTCTAAAACTTATCCAAACAAAGAATGCAAACCGCATCTTGTGTTTTAATATTTTTCCACTTCCTGGTCCTAACACTCAGCCAGGTTTTGCCCTTTCTAATCAGAGCTCTGCCATTTCTCCTAAAACAGTATTGAGTACTGCTTGAGAAGTCTAATAGAGATTTCTGTTATATGCAAATCGTATCTAAATGAAAAATCCATTGACAGTCTTTGTAACACAACAGCCAATATGTTTGTTTCTTTGCTCCAACTATGTCAAATCTTTTTATTTCCAAGAATACTTGAGCTTTGATAACCAGCCTACATAACAAGTAAATAAATAAGGTTGAAAGTTTATTTGATCCTCACACGCATCAACTCCACTTATACTGGGGCTTACATTCCTAATGTCAGGACAAAAGGCATATTAATAAAGACTTTTCTAACAGGCTAATGAATATATTATGGTATAAGTTAACTTGTTCACTCCATCAAATGCATTTTGTGATTCATAGTATCTTATACAATAACAAAATGGTTAGTCTTTAAGGTGCCACAAAATGTTTCATTATTTTTGCTGGAAAGAAAACAACATGATAGTCTGAAAGGAGTTTGAAACCCACCAACGACAGGCAAAGAATATTGCCAGTTGTTGGCAAATGACACAACAGCCTTACTAGTTTTGCAATGTAAGGTTATGCCTCTACATATACAGTTTTTATTTTGTGGGCTAAGCAGTGCCAAATATAAGAAGAATAGGCCTGTGGTACTCACCAGCGGCAATGTTGAGCAGCTTGCAAGCTGTTTCAATGTCCTTGAGCACTTCACCCACCACCATTGTCTGCACCTGCTCCAAGGAGTGCTCCTCAAGGTGAAGGCTAGCCTGATAATCCATCTCAGAGGTAAGGCTCAATCCTTGACTGTCAATGATAGGGCACTGCTCAGGTTCCTTATGCACTTCCGTCCTGCTTCCTTGATGGTTGTGTTGTTGAGTTTCACCCAAACTCTTTGGGACCCAATTGCTGTCATCTGGGTAGAGCATATTAAAGTACTGCAGGCAATAGGTGGGAAGGGTTTGCTCAGGTGTAGCAGGGGGACTTGGGCTGTCAAGGGACTGCCAGCTTGGGCTGTCAGGAGCTTGAGCAAGAGGTAGCTTCTCCAGGCCAGAAAAGAGTACAGGATCCTGCAGGGTGACCCGACCATGAGGCAGAGCAACTACACCTTGGCCAGCACTGCCCATCACTCTGTGCAAGTTTTCCTCCAGATCTACCATCAAAGGAGAGAGAAGAAAAGAAGGGGGGTGGAAACATATGCCTCAGTCAGAAGGGATGGTTTGATAATAATTTCTGCATTTCTGCCCAGTGATCAGGCACAATGGAGGAAAGCTAAGCCTGTTAAAGGAAAAGAAACCACCAAAGAGTCATTCTATGGCCAAAGAGACCCCTTGATGAAAACAGGTTAAATAGCTCTTCAAGGGCCCAGGCAACTCTTCCCTTCTGGGTCACTGGGTAATAAGAGGGCAAGGGAAGGAATCATGATAGGAAGGGGAAAAGCAAAGGCAGGAAAGAACACAACTGGGGATAAATTTCTGGAGAATGAAGTAAGTCTCTCTCTCTCTAGTTTCCAAAGGGCAAAGGCTAAGAAAGGAAGACGGCTGTAAAACTCATACTAATAGTTCTTGCGTGGAATAGAAAATCAAAGATGAGTAAATATGAAATTGGGGCTCCATATAAACATTCAGAGATGGGGTGGGAGTCTTTATGCATATACTGTATGTGAATAAATGGGGAGAGCAATGCAATAAATAAGCATTGATGCATATCGTTATTCATTAATCACCTTCACCTTCATTATTCACAGGTTTATCCCTTGTAAAGTGATAGCTTCAAAGAAAGACCAGATTGTTTTTAAAGAACAATATTTCACATCTGCAGAAATGTTGATAGCCCATACCACAAGTGCATTTACTGTTATTATCTCCCCCCCCCCAATATGATTGTATAAAATGTCATTAGTCTCTGGATTTCTTTCTTTAAATCATACATAACCCAGGACTTTACAAGAGCACAGACAATGTGAAAGGAAATGCCACTGCACTGTCACTCTTAGACTTTTCAGAATGACAGATGTGAAAGGGAATTTGGAGATCTTCTAGTCTAACCCCCTACTCAAGTAGGAGACCATTTCAATCACAACAGAGCTGGAAGGGACCTTGGAGGTCTTCTAATCCAACCCCCTACTCAAGTAGAAGATCCTATACCTTTTCAGATAAATAGCTTGTCCAATCTCTTCTAAAAAACCTCCAGTGATGGAGGCAAATGCTTCACCTTTTCTGTGTCCAAGGCAACAGAGAAAGGTTTCTCCTTTATTCAGATGAAAGGCAATTCCAACTTACATGAATGTAGTATTTGCAGTAGTTAAATTGACCAACATCTAAAACTATGACTAAAATGTTGAGGGTGGCACACAAATTTAAGGCAAGGCAATTGTTGATCTCTCAGATATTATACAGAATTTCTCACTTCTTCTTTTGGCTAGGTGTTTTTTCTCCCAGTTTGTTTAATGGGAAAAACTGGAGATAAAATATCAATGAGTATCATTTACTAAAGATTATATTAGCTTATAACAAATACATTATATTTGTCCTAACCCAAGCAACACCCCCACCCGGCTATTTGTTTTTGGTGACATTCTCATAGACATTAGGTTTAAGCTGAGCCTAAACTTCAGAATATTTGCATTTACCATCCCCATTGAGTCAGAATAATTCCAGTTCAGTATGTGTATTATGAATCAGGCAGAGTTTCACACAATTAGTTGGATGCACACTAGAAACCACTGTAAGCTTTAATATTCACCATCCTTCGCCCCACACCATTCAAACTAACACATATAACTTGGATTTATCTTTAAATGAAATTAACCAAGATTACAATACCAACATTCTGTTGAAATAGCAGGTTGGGCATCACCACCATGAGTCTACTATCCTGAAAATATTTTCACAAATATTTTTGGGTAGGCAATGCACTGTCTTTTAATATTCTAGATACACAACTGACTCAATGCAAAGGCAAAGAGATGTGATGCAGCCAACTTCATCTTTGATCTGTTACACTCTGAAATCATATTATTTCAACTTGTCTTCATTTTAATCTTTCATCCTTTCCATCTTTCTTTGGTGCTGGAAAGTGGCCTGGGCTCAGCAGAGTGGTAGATGAACTTGCTGGATTTCCATGACAACCTTTGCAGCTGTCATGAACCAAACAGAAAGCCCGAGAGCTTAAAGTGTGTTGGGTGGGAATGACAGGAGAGGGGAGGCAGTCCCTCTGAAATGAGAGTGCAGTTAAAAGGCTGCTGTTGGGGACATCATGCTGGAAAGTAGAAGCTCAAGTAGGTGGCTCACAAACACCTTCTTTCCATAGGTATTTTTCTAACGCTACATAGAAGCTCAAACTGAATAAATGATTCCCTTCCCACCACTCACCCATCCAATATTTTGGAACACCACATATCCCAGAAATACCTTGCTGATCTCAAAACTAAACTGGGTTAACACTTGGGTAGGAGACCATGAATAAAGTGCAGAATTATAACCTAGTCCAGAAAATCAAGAGTAAATTCCTTCCACATGTTTACTTAAAAAACTTTGTGGATGAATCCTTGTCGTCATCAAGAATTGAGCTCGAACTGGAATGTAGTCATTCTAGTTAATTAACAAAGAGTGAACATAGCAGTAAGCAAAGCAAAGGTAATCTACACAGTGGTGTGGAGGAGTCAAAAAAAGTCAAGACTCTAGTTGTTGCCATATTATAAAAACCTTGCATTTTGGTGCATGCGCCAATGCTGAACAGAGAAGGCTTTGATGCAGTGGCCGTAGCCCCTCTCTTGATCTTTCTGATCCCTTCCATATATGCCACTGAAAGTACATGTACATTTCAAATTCCATGCTTCTGGTCTCCAGTAGTCCAGGCCCTTGGCAACAATCCAATACAAACGGACTAGTGTGCATTAGAAAGCTTGTTTCATTCTCTCTACACGAATGCAAGTACAAAACATTTAGCTGTGAGTAAGACAGTTAATTCAATAAGAAATAGTTCTAAAAAGACCTGTATAGAAATACCCTGACATTATACTAGCTAAAGTTAGCACATTCAGTCAATACTTGGAACACAGTGTAGTTTTGTTTTCTACGGTTGCATATTATCTGACTATGATAATTAACCCATGAAATCAATATTCACAGCCTACCTAAAATGTATGGTAATTGTTTTTAATGAAATGGATTATCTGATTAAGCTTTAAAATCAGAATTATGTTGAGGAAATAAAAAGTAATAGTAGACTACAATGAAGAAGCTACTGTTTTAAAAATTATCACAGCTGTAGATCTTTAGACGTCTGGATCTTCTTGAGAACATTGTACTGAATAAGAACAGCCTAACCTCTGCAAAGCACATTCTCTGTTTCTTCACTGCACAAGAAGTGCAAGTTAGTTACAACATGGACAAAGATTTTTAATTACCAGGCATTTCAAACACATCAATTGAAAATCAAGAGCAGATGCTCAAAGAGGGGTACAGTTCAGTGGCACAGGCAGAGAATATTGACCTTTGGAGAATTCTCAGTGAAAATACAGCTCGACTTATGACCACAATGGAGCCCAGAATTTTTGTTGCTAAGTGAGAAATTTGTTAATTGAGTTTTGCTCCATTTTATGACTTTTCTTGCCACATTTGTTAAATTAATCACTGCAATTGTTAAATTAGTAACATGGTTGTTAAGTGAATCTGGATTTCCCATTGACTTTGCTTGTCAGAAGGTCGCAAAATATAATCACAGAACCCCAGAACACTGCAACGGTCATAAATCGTCCAGAATGCAGCCGCGCGAGCGATTGTGGGTGCACCTCGGTACACCCACATTACACCTATCCTCCGCGAGCTGCACTGGTTACCGATCAGTCTCCAGATACACTTCAAGGTGCTAGTCGTCACTTATAAAGCCCTTCTGACAAGCAAAGTCAATGGGAAATCCAGATTCACTTAACAACCATGTTACTAATTTAACAATTGCAGTGATTAATTTAACAAATGTGGCAGAAAAAGCATAAAAAGGAGCAAAACTCAATTAACAAATTTCTCACTTAGCAACAAAAATTCTGGGCTCCATTGTGGTCATAAGTC